ATTCACATCACATTGCTTTCAAGAAATTTGTCACTAGCATTTCATTTCTGAAACTTATTCTATAGCCTTCTTGATACTGTTTTCTCATAGTTCTGGTTCTTATTCTAGTTTTGATCATTAAAAAATTTATCAGAAAGTCTTTTTTCTTTATTTGTTAGTGTCTGTAGGATTTTGTCAGTGGCCCTCTTCAATATATGTGAGCTCTTTGAACAATCAGATCCTATTTTCATGGCTGCAGATACAACTATATAATGCTGATGACCAATAAAACATCATTTCCATTCTAGCTTTTTCTGGATCTCATGAACAGCATGTCCAATTTCCAAATCAATGGATAGCTCCATTCCGATGCCCTACCATACCTCAAATTTTTCATACCATTCTTTGTCTGTTTCTGCTTCCATCTAAATCCCACTTTCAGTTTTTCCAGCCTCAGTGAATCACAGGCATCTAGTGAGGCCCCACACCACGTAACTTGACCAAAGTTTTATTTTTCAATTTCTCTCACACTAAGTATAAACTGGTGCCCAAGATCACCTTTAACCCATGGTAATTATTAAATATGTGTGCTAAATCAGTGTGCTTATTAATCAGTGAATGAACATAAACTGACAGGATGTTGCTAACATGGTGTTTTTTTCTCTTACAAAATAACATAACTAGTTAAAGTTTTTTTTTTAATAACTTCTTATTTGTTAGTACTATCAGAACAACGTTCAATATGTTTTGTCCGTATCACCCAAGTCGAACGACTTCAGATTGAGTGAGAGTGTGTTGTTACAGGGAAGAGTGACCTTCAAAGATGTGGCTATTGACTTCACCCAGGAGGAGTGGCAGCGACTGGATCCTTCTCAGAGGAATCTGTACCGAAATGTGATGCTAGAAAACTATAACAACTTAATCACAGTGGGTAAGGGTAGTTGCCTGCATAATTCAAATTCTGGAAATAAAGTACCTTTTCTTTCTCGATATTTCTGAAATGTGTGGGACACTTAAATGTCAGCTTAGGTTTGGCCTTGGGATGTCTGCTCTCATGAATGTGCATGCTACAACTTTCAAAGAGAAAGGTCATCCTTGGTTACGTTTCAGAAGACAGCATCCTCAGAAGCCACACTTTTCTCATCCTTCAGAAAGCCTAATTTCCCTTGGGCCAGCCTCAATTCTTTGTTTCCAGTATTTATGCCAAAATCGTATGTCACTTCCCTTTGACAGGATGTCCATTCACCAAACCTGATGTGATTTTCAAGTTGGAGCAAGAAGAAGAACCGTGGGTGGTGGAGGAAGAAGTGTTAAGGAGACGCTGTCCAGGTCAGTGAGAGGGAACCAGACAGATGAGGAGGGACCAGAGTCCCTTAATGGTTAATCAGTGAGTGACTGGTCCTCTGAAATGTTCTTTGAAGGTATTTTTCTAAAGACCATATGTTTTTGTAGTGACAGTTGTGAATTGTTTAGAAACCTGTCATTTCTAGATACCATTATTCACTTCTTTCCTCAGAACTTAGAGGACTGATTGGCCTTCTTACCTGTATGCTAGGTATCAAACTTTCCTAATTCATTTCAAGACTTACTTTGATAATTATTTGTAATATTATTAGTATCTTTAGTCTCTCTGTCTACCTTTTTACATCGGATCCTTTCATTTCTCATTCATACATTCACAAATTTGTAGTCGTTCAAATAAACTCATTGACATTTATAGTCCTTTGCTTTGTACTTCCACTTCTTCCCTCCATTTCAGAGGTCTTAGTATTGTATTTTATACCCATAGCCACAGGCCTGACTATATTTTTAGTGTTTGCTCTCATACTTCAGTAATGGCCACTGTCCTTTTACCCCAATAAAAGTTTGAAAGTCAGCACTATTTTTTGTTAGCTCCCATTTTCTTCTACACTTGTCATGCATATATGTACGTATATGTGTGTACTTACATGTGTGTGATGTGAGTGTATGTGTATACACACATATATATATGCATACATACATACACGTATTTAGTAGATTTAGAATTGGAATGGATAGGCCAAAGGATATGTGTATTTTCCGTCTGATTGATATTGCCAAGTCTTTTTTGCTCTCCATGGACATTTCAACAATTTATATTTCTAACAAAAATTTCTACCAACAAATTCTATTAGGAATTTTTAAATCTTTGCTAATCTGATAGGGGGAATTGCTAACTTATTGTAGTTTGAACTTTCATTTCCTTTATTATAAGTAAAAGTGAGCATCTTTTCATGTGTTTTAATAAATAGTTTTCATCCTTTTTTCTGTTGAATTCTTAATTTATTCAAACTCTTCATATATTACAGTGCCAGGTAAAGGGCTTATCTGTCATATGTTTTTCCAGTATTTTTTTTTTCCAATTGCTCATTCTTCTTGGAAGTATTTTTTGCCACCTTGCCTTTTTTTAATGTTCACGTAGGTAAAGTAACAATCTCTTGTTACCATATGATTGTCATATGATTTTTTCCCCTTTATGTATATGGGTGAATTATGTTTACGTATTTCTTAATAATGACACAGCCTCACATTTCTCCTCTTGGGTGACAGCGCCTAGTAGCATTTTTCTTTGGGACATTTTTAAACAGTTTTATTGAAGCCACTTTAATAGATTAACATGTGGATAACTGTCATTTTTATGTTGTTATATCTTCCTTTCTAAGAATGTGATATACGTTTCCATTTGTTCAGATCTGTGCGTGCCTGAGCATTTTAAAGTTTTCTTATAGTTCTCGGACTTTTTAAATTTATTCCTAGATGTTTCATATTTTTGTTACCATTGTAAATGCAGTGTTTTCTTCTGTTATAATTTCTAAATTGTTTTTGTATATATGAAGGCTATCAAAGCTGTACATTAACGTGTATATAATGAATTTACTACCCTTTACAATAATTTTTCAGGTGACTCTTGATTTTGCAGGTAAACAATTTTATTGTTGACAATGTTAATTTTACCTTGACAAATTTTTATACCTCTATCTTTCTCTTATTCAATTGTACTAGTCAGTATCACAATAATATTGGTGATACTATTCATCTTTTTCATATTCCTGACTTTTATGTGAACAATTTTGTGTTTTCCTCATTAAGCATGATGCAGGTATTTGAGTTGTACTGTACTTTTTCTCAAGTTAAATGTTTATTCCTATTTTATGAAGGGTTTTATGTAAAATAGATGAGAAGTTTTATCAAATACCTTTTCAAGACTTATGGAAATGTTCACTTGATTTTTCATTTTTACCTATTAATATATTTATTATAGTAGTAGTATTTTTGGAATTTGCTTGATATTATATTGGAAAAATTCATAAGTGATATTTATTTGCAATCTGTTTTAGAAGTATGGTAATTGAATGAGCATCAGAAACCTTATAGATTTTCTAATATTGAACCATATTTATATTCTTGAAAAAAACCTCAGTTATATTTTATATTTGATGTGCTTCTAGATCATTTTTATATTTTATACAAAATTTTTCCAGTGGTAATTTATAAATGAAATTTATATTTAGTTTACCTTTTTGTGGTGTGTCATCTTTGTCAGGTTTCAGTATTAATATTATATATGTTTTACATGCAAAAAATAGAGAATTATCCTCCTTTTTTCTTCTGGAGCATTTTACACAGCATTGTGTTGTTCCTTAAATGTTAGAATTCCCATGTGAATCTTTGTGGACCTGGTGCTATTCTTTTTATTTTTTTCCCAGATTTCTTTTATGGAAATTGATCTATATAGATTTTTTTATATCTTCTAGGGTGAATTTTGTTAATTTACATTTTCCAGAAAATTACTCGGCAAGCAGTTTATAAAAATGTATTTCAATACAGTCTTGTGAAATGATCTCTTACGATTCTCTTAATTTCCTGTTTTTTTCCCTCTGTCGTTATTTCTTCTTACTTTATTTGTGCATTTTGTATTCTCCCTGTTATTTACATACCAGTTGGTATGTCTTCTTTTGGATTCCATTTAAAAACAAAGTATTCATAAACATCTGCTTCTGCTCGTATTTCATTTGTTTAATAATGGGAGACTAAGCCTAAAACGTAAAGAGCCCTGGTGGCACAAAGATTAAAGCACTTGGCTACTAACTGAAAAACTGGCAGTTTGACCCGACTAGTGGCTCCGTGGTTGAAAAGACCTAGTGATCTGTTGCTATAAAGATTAAAGTCTAGGAAACTCTATGGGGCAGTTCTGCTATGCCCCATACATAGTAGTTGCTATGATTTGGAGTCAGCTCGACAGCACACAACAACTGAAACCCAAAACGCATTGCCACATCTTTCTTCTGTGGAGGGGCTGGTGGGTTCAAACCACTGACCTTTTGGCTAGCAGCCAAGTGCTTAACCTCTGCACCACAAGGGTGCCTTATAACAACAACAGGCCTGAAACCAAATTATCAGTGCCAATAGTAATAATTATTTTTGAAATTTTCTTGATATAATATTGGAAAAATCTACAAGTGATATTTATTTGCAATCTATTTTAGGAGAAGTATGGGGAATTGATGAGCATCAGAAAAACCAGGACATAATTTTGAGGCAAGTTGAAGATAGCAGTGACAAGAAAGCAATGACAGAGAAAAAAGTTCATGAATGTCACAAGAAATTTTCAAATACATTTCCTCTGAATTCAGACTTTGTTCCTTCCAGACACAACCTCTATGAATATGACTTATTTGGAAAGTGTCCAGAACATAATTTAAACTGTCATAATAATGAGAGAAGCTATATAACAAAGGAACATTCTGAATATAATGATCCTGTAAAATCATTTTGTAATAGCTCATCCTATCTTGTAGTAACCCCTTTTAAGTGTAATCATTGTGGAAAAGGCTTCAGTCAGACATTGGACCTCATCAGACACCTGAGAGTTCATACTGGAGATAAACCCTATGAATGTAATAAATGTAGAAAAGCCTTCAGCAACAAGGAAAAACTCATTAAACATGATAAAATTCATAGTAGGGAGCAGTCTTATGAATGTAATGAGTGCAGGAAAGCTTTTATTAAAATGTCAAACCTCATTAGACATCAGAGAATTCATACTGGAGAGAAACCCTATGTATGTAAGGAATGTGGGAAATCCTTCAGCCAGAAATCAAATCTCATTGATCATGAAAAAATTCATACTGGAGAGAAACCTTATGAATGCAGTGACTGTGGAAAAGCATTCAGCCAGAAGCAAAGCCTCTTCGCACACCAGAAAGTTCATACTGGAGAGAAACCTTATGCTTGTAATGAATGTGGTAAAGCTTTCCCTCGAATTGCATCCCTGGCTCTTCATATGAGAAGTCATACAGGAGAAAAACCTTATAAATGTGATAAATGTGGAAAAGCCTTCTCTCAGTTTTCTATGCTTATTATACATGTAAGAATTCATACAGGTGAGAAACCCTATGAATGTAATGAGTGTGGAAAAGCCTTCTCTCAAAGCTCAGCCCTTACTGTACATATGAGAAGTCATACTGGTGAGAAACCCTATGAATGTAAGGAATGTAGAAAAGCCTTCAGCCACAAGAAAAACTTTATTACACACCAGAAAATTCATACTAGGGAGAAACCTTATGAATGTAATGAATGTGGGAAAGCTTTCATTCAAATGTCAAATCTCGTTAGACACCAGAGAATTCATACTGGAGAAAAACCCTATATATGTAAGGAATGTGGCAAAGCCTTTAGCCAGAAATCAAATCTCATTGCTCATGAGAAAATCCATTCTGGAGAAAAACCCTATGAATGTAATGAATGTGGCAAAGCTTTCAGCCAAAAGCAAAACTTTATTACACATCAGAAAGTTCACACCGGAGAGAAACCTTATGATTGTAATAAATGTGGGAAAGCCTTCTCTCAAATTGCATCCCTTACTCTTCATCTGAGAAGTCACACAGGGGAAAAGCCTTATGAATGTGATAAATGTGGGAAAGCCTTCTCTCAGTGCTCACTTCTTAACTTACATATGAGAAGTCATACAGGTGAGAAGCCCTATGTATGTAATGAATGTGGAAAAGCCTTCTCTCAAAGAACGTCTCTTATTGTGCACATGAGAGGTCATACCGGTGAGAAACCCTATGAATGTAACAAATGTGGAAAAGCCTTCTCCCAGAGTTCATCCCTTACTATACATATACGAGGTCATACAGGTGAGAAACCCTTTGACTGTAGTAAATGTGGAAAAGCCTTCTCTCAAATCTCATCTCTTACTCTACACATGAGAAAACATACAGGTGAGAAGCCTTATCATTGTAATGAATGTGGTAAGGCTTTCAGCCAAAAGTCACACCTTGTTAGACACCAGAGAATTCATACTCATTAGCAATCCTATGGCGCCCTGGTGGTGCAGTGGTTAAGAGCTCATCTAACTAAAGCTTGGCAGTTTGAATCCACAAGCGACTCCTTGGAAACCCTATGGGGCAGTTCTAGTCCTGTAGGGTCACTGTGAGTTGGAATCAACTCGACAGCAACGGGTTTGAGTTTTTTGGTTCAGCAGCCCTATGAATATCATAAATGTGGAAAAGCTTTCAGAAGGAATTAACACTTCATTGTACATTACATAATTGGTTCTAGAATATAAAACTATGAATGTAGGAAAGCCTTATGAAAAAGTAACAAATTTCTAAAACAGTTCATACCATAGAGACAAATTGGTATTGTAATGAAAATCTGGTCATCAAAAACCTGCAGCAGACATGTTACATATTGATAATATTTAATCAGCATTCTCATTTAAATATGAGACAGAATATCTGCTATCAGCACTACTTATCAATACTTGAGCTCCTAGCCAATATATTAAGCAAAAAAAAAGAAGATTGGAAAAAAGAGGAGCTGTGAAAATAGCCTTTATAAGAGGAATAGTTAATTAGAAAATGTGTTGATATGAAACATCTAAGAATAAATACAACAATGAATTACAAGACATTTATATATAAAGTTATAAAACATGTTGAAGTGCACAAAAAAAAAACATGGAAAAATGGAGAGAAATTACATTATGTCTGAAAAGACTTGACATTGTAAAAATATAAGTAGTTTTTTTCTTTTTTAAGGAATTTCACAAGCTGAGAATTTTTATGTGGGGAGGTAAGGAACGAAAAATAGCTGAAACAAATTGGAAAAAGCAAAACAGAGAAGAGATGCTCTAATAGATATCACCACATACTTTTAAACTGGATCATTTGAACACTGTGTAACTGATAAACTGATCAGTGAAAAATTGGCGGTTCATACACAAATCCAAGGAGACAAAGGAATTTTGTGTATGATAATGTCAAAATCATTAGGGGAAAGGATGGCCTATTCAATAAATGGAAAATTCATATGAGCTCTCTCTATATAAAAATAAAATCCAAATAGATTGAAGATCAGAATATAAAAAGCAAAATTGTAATGATATGATGAAAATAGAATGTATCTATTAAGATTTCTTTAAAAACACATAAACATGGAAAAATTCTATTTTTGTGTATTGGCCTTGGAGGCATCCACATATATGGACAAAGAGCTACATATCACTATGTTTACTGAAGTTAGGTTTATATTTGCCCTAAATTGGATATAATAGAAATTTCTATTAATAGAGGAATAGATCAATAAAATGTGATTATTCCTATGATAGAATACTAGACAGTATTTAGATATAAGGTTTAAAATTCACATTCATGGATGAGTGGATCACAATATATAATATTGAAATGAAAAAGATGCACAATAAAACATGGTATAAGTACAAAGGACAGTACTGCATATTGATCATGACTATATATGACATTGGTTGCCTTTTGGGAAGTGGGAAAGGTTTGGAGGGAGTTGATATATTTATATGTAATATATCTTTATAAAAGAAAAAAAAATATACCAGTGATCACAACTATGATTGCCAGAATTATGGAGATTTGGGGGTATTCTTTCTTGCCTTTCTGTATTTTCCTAATTTCTCTAAAATTATGGTGGAGGATACCCGGGCCTATCAGAATACCTTTATAATGGATTCTTATTCTTGATCAGATACTAACATTTATAGAAAATTCTCTTTAATAATACACAAACCAAGCCTGATTTAAGGGAATATTTTGTTTATCCTCTCCTCATAATGTTAGTTGGGATAATGAAATCAGCAATATATAGCATTTGTTTAAGGCCAATTTTAAAAAATTTAAATAATTTTGTCTTAAACACAAGTTTTTTCCCACTGAAAGCAGTGAAGAAACAACAGAATTATTCAATTGTTGGAATAATTGTCTATTTCAGAAAAACAATCCACCTCCATCCAGCATTTTGTGTTTGTTTCAGATTGAGGGGAAGAAAACATTCTTACATACTGTAAAATTTGATTAACGTTTTGCCAAGGATAGTTGCCAGTATTAGAGCAAGAGCAGTTTCAACATATCTCAATACAGCTTTCTTTGATTTCTTGTGTCTTAAATGGGGACGCAGGTGCTGGTGATTTCATTTGTGCCAGATACATGTGAAAAGTTCACTTCTTGTACCACAAATCTTACATTCAGGGCTTTCAGATGTTTATGGTGACTCAAATTTTCTTTTCTATGAATAGCCCATTCATATATTTTGTCATTTTTTTCTGTTGGGACTTAAATTAGAAATAATTACAGGCTCATTGGAAGCTTCAGAAGTAGTATGGGAAGGTCGGTGTACCCTACACCCACCTTCCCCCAGTGGTAACATCTTACATAACTATGGTACAATATCAAATTGACATTTGTACTATCCACAGACCTTAGATTTAACCAGTTTTACATGCACGTGCGTGTGTGTAGTCCTATACAATTTGATCTTGTGTAGGTTTGTGCAAATATCACAATCAAGATACAGAACTGTTCCATCACCACAAACTTCTCGTGCTATCCCTTTATAGTGACACACATCCTCTTTTCCTTCCCTCACAGCCACTAATCTGTTCTTCATCTCTATAATTTTGTCACATCAAAAATGTTATATCTATGGAAACATACAGTATGTAACCTTTTGAAATTAGCTTTTTCACTGTAATTCCCTTGGGACTCATCCTACTTATTGCATGTATCAATAGTTTGTTATTTTTTATTTATGGGCAGTTATACGTGTTATAGATGTAGCAAAGTTTCATTGACCATTCACACATTGAAAGCCATTTAGGTTGTTTCTAATTTTGGGGTGTCACAAATAAAGCTTCTATGAGCATTCCTCTGCCATTTTGTCATTCGTTTTCTATTTGTAGCCTCTGTTTTTTGTTCCCATTTCACTTCTCATGCCTTCCTATGGGTTACTTGAGCATTTTTTAGAATTCTATTTTGATTTGTTGTTGTTGTTAGGTGCCATTGAGTCAGTTCCAACTCATAGCATCCCTATGTACAACAGAACGAAACACTGCCCGCTCCTGCGCCATCCTCACAATCATTGTTATGCTGGAGCCCATTGTTGCAGCC